AAAGAATTACAAACTATTACTACTGAGTTATTCCATATATGAACAGCCAGTGCAACATTTGAAAATCAGTGCAACCTACTTGAGTAAGCTAAAGAGGGGTTGGTGGGGTTGGTGTGATTGCTCAGTTGGTTCATCTTACCCTGTAAGCTCCAGCATCCCATGTGGGCACTGGCTAAGGTCCTAGCTGCTCCATTTCCCATCCAGCTCCCTGCTTGTGTTCTGGAAAAGCAGTGGAGGATGGCCCAAAGCCTTGGGACCCTGCCTTCACTCCTGGCTTCTGCTTTTAAATTGGCTCAGCTCCACCTGTTGTGGCCATTTGGGGAGTGAACCAGCTAATGAAGTATCTTTCTGTTTCTCCTCTGTTAAGCTTTCTTAGTAAAAATAAAATGGATCTGTTAAAAAAAAGGGGGGGGGTGTGTAGGCACTATGATGTCAGAATCCCATTTGGATGCTAGTTTGGGTCCCAGCTGTTCTACTTCCATTAAAACTCCCTGCTGATTTGCCTGGGAAAACACAAGGATGGCCCTGGTGCTTGGTCTCTTGCTACCACAAAAGAGACTCAGATGAAGCTACTAGCTCCTGGCTTTGGACCATCCCAGTTCTGGCTGTTGCAGTCATTTGGGGAGTGAACCAGCAGATGGAAGGTGTCTCTCTGTAACTTTTTCAAAATAAATCTTTAAAGGGCAAATAAGCTAAATAAGAAATAGCTGATAAAATTTTACTCATAACTTTCTAGTATATCACATGAAGACTATAAGATAATTTTATCAGCTATTCCATAAAAGTAAATTGTACGCCTGCATTGATATTTCTTTACCACCCTCCCTCCCCAACACAGTATTTGCTGAAATCTTATATAGTCATTTTCCATATAGTTAGAAGTAAAAACAAGTGAATTCTGTTGCTTTTGTCATTTCATGTTATTTTCAGAAAATTGTAGCCAGTCCTCCAACAAAAAATTTTATTCCCTTCCAACTTGTCTTTTGTGTTCATGCTTTGTTACATAGAATTTTTATTTATTACCTTTCAATATATGTATTTATTTTGAAAGGCAAGAACTTATCTGCCGGTTCACTCCCCAGATAGCTGCAGGAATTGGTACTGAGCCAAGTGGAACTCCATCTGGTCTCCTCTGTGGGTGGCAGACACTCAAGTGCTTGACCATCATCGTTGCTGCCCAAGCACACTAGCTGGAAAAGCAGGAGAGGGATTGTTCCAGTCGACACTCCACTGTGGGCTGCAGTGCCCCAAGTGGTGGCTTAAGCCACTGCACAGGCACACCTGCCCTTGAACTGGGGGAAGTCCATGTGGAGAGGATGAGCATCCTTTACTTGTTCCCAAGTGCAAGAGGACAGCATCAAGTCTTTCGGCACTAAGTATAATTTAGTTTTAGGCATTTCATAGATGTTCTTTTCATTAAAGTAATTGCCTGTATTCTTAAGTTGCTAAGCGGGCTTTTTTTAGATCATGAATGAGTGATTTCTTAAATGGTTTTTCTGTCTCAGTTGATAGGATTGTGTGTGTTTAAGCTTATTTATTTTGTGGTGTTAGTGAAGAGGTAACTCAGTGACTTTGTTGGAGAATTCTATCAGACATTCAAAGAAAAAAATAAATTTTATATAAATACTTCCAGGATATATAAGAATATACAGACAGACACTAAATGTTCAGCCAACTATTAAGAAATTGAATTTAGCAATGTGTGTAAAAGATTGTCGTTTTGAAAGGCTGGTTGAAAATACAAAAATGTGTTAAAATAGGATAAAGTCCTCACCTTGCATACTCTGAGATCCCATATGGGCACCAGTTCTAGTTCCAGCAGCCCTGCTTCCCATCCAGCTCCCAGCTTGTGACCTATGAAGGCAGTTGAGGACGGCCCTAAGCCTTGGAACCCTGCACCCATGTGGGATATCCGAAAGAAGCTCCTGGCTCCTGGCTTCAGATCACTACAGCTCCAGCCGCTGTGGCTGCTTGGGGAGTGAATCATCAGCAGAATTTCCTCTATCTCTCCTCTCTGTGTATCTAATTTTCTAATTAACAAAATAAAAATAATGAAAAACATGTAATCCACTTGTATCAACAAATTAAGGAAGAAAAATGGTGATCTCAATAGAAGTAGAAAACCCTTTGACAAAATTGAACCTCTATTCATGGAACAAGTTTCAAAAACCAGAAATAGAAAGGATCTTCTGCATAAATAGCACTAAAGAATATACAACCGATTTTATGCTTAATAGCAAAAGATTTTATGTTGCTTTTCCCCTAGCATCAGGAAGGTGTAAAAATGTCCACTCTCACCACCCCTACCAAATACTGTAGTAGAATCAATAGCCAGTGCAAGAAAAAAGGGCTCACCAATTGGAAAAAAAAGAAAAAGAACTGTTAGTCCACAGACAACTGATTACATGGAAGACTGCAGAAAAATCCTTGAAAAAGCTGCCATAACTCATCAATGAATTTAGCAAGGATTCTGCATCAAAGATCCAAGATTTAAAAATATCAGCTATATGTGTGCATCCAGACTGGTCATCCCACTTCAAAAATCTGCAATGCTCAAAAATCCAAAAATGTTTTGAGTATCAAATGACACCAAAGTTGGAAAATTCCTCACCTGATGCTAACAGTGAAAATGTAAGCCACAGCAAAAATATTATACAAAATTACCTTCAGAGATATGGATATTAGACTGAGTTTAAGGACCACACCACCTGAGTTCTAGATTTACCATACTTCAGAACAATCACGGTAAGTTCTCACGGAGATTCCCCAGTCCACGGTTTCACCTTTCTCAGTTTCAACTGCCTCTATCACAGTTGTCCAAAGTATTTTTACTTTTGACTCTATCAAGAAAGGCAACATCCATGTATCTTATATTAGTGTACACATTCTATTATTATTAATAGAATAATCTGTACTAACTTATAAAACTTTCCCAGATATGAATACATAGGAGAAAATGTAGTATATATAGATTTTAGTACTATTCGTCGTTTCAGGCAAAAAAAATACCAAGGATCTTAGAACGTGTTTCTTGCAGACAAGGCGGGACTACTGTAATGCAGGAAACATCCCTGTTCAGGTCAAAGAACTATGCTGGAGTGTCCAGAATAGATTCATGTCAATGAACTGATTTTCAACAAAGGTACATAAGCAATTCCATAATGAATATTTCCAGCTTGTGGTACCAAAACAACTGGATAACACTTTGTGAAACATAAACCTCAATCCACACCTTGTCCCATATACAAAAATCAGCTCAAAAAAAGTCATAAACCTAAACAGAAAACTTCTAGAAGAAAACAGTTTAAAAAATTGGTAGATTTGGGGTTAGGCAAAAATTTTTTTCAAAGTTCAAAATAATCAGCAATAAGGAAAAAAGATGGACTACAAGACTAAGAAGTTTTACTCTACAAGCACATTACAAGAGACAAAAAACTGAAAAATATCTACATCACATGATGTATAGTTAAAAAAAACCTCTGTAACCAAAATATGCAATGAATTCTCAAAATGCAATAGTAAAGACACATATCTGTGGTGTATGTGTGTGTTGTAATGAGTAAAGAATTTGAACAAAAACTTTGTAAAGAAGACTATATTCAAGTGACACAGGTGCGTAGAAGTCATACTAATATAGGCCTGGCACAGTGGTCTAGAGACAATAGTCCTGCCTTGCATGCGTCGCGATCCCATATGGTCTCCTGTTCGAATCCAGCTCCCTGCTTGTGGCCTGGGAAAGCAGTAGAGTTTGGTCCAAAGACCTGGGACCCTGCACCTGTGTGGAAGACCGGATCAGCTCAGCTCTGGCTGTTGCAGCAGACGGATGATCTTCCTCTGTCTCTCCTCTCTGTATATCTGATTTTCCAACAAAAATAGATACATCTTTTAAAAAGTCATACTAACATGTAGGTGCATATTAGACATTACAGAAATGTAAACAATTATCTCAGATACCACCTAACGTATCTTAAAATAATGGTTAAATTAACAAGGTTTTTTTTTACAATCCATGCTTTCAATTTAAAATTGTACAGTGACTTGGGAAAGCAGTTTGACTGTTTCTCCCACAACTAAATGCTCTTAGCACCTGACCCAGCACTCCCGCCTCTGAATATTTAACCAGCGAAAACATACGTGCACACAAACACACACAGATTTTATGAGAATGTTTAGAAATTAGCATTGAAAAGATTACAATGCCACAGTGTGGTGTAATCAAAAATACCTTGTACTAAGAGGTGTGAGAAATAAAAGGTTACTTGCATAGTTCCTTTTGTACGAATGCTATCTCTTACGTATTTACTTATCCATCCATCTTCTACGTAATTTGAAAGGCTGAGAGAGCCAGCGACGCAAGCAAGCTTCCGCAGACTGTTGAACTTCTCCAGTGAGATCTCAAGAGCCAAAGCCAGTGGCAGGAACTCAATTGGGGTCTCCCAAGTACTTAATGTTTTTGCGTACACACACATTCACACCCTATCAGAACAGAAAACAAACTGCGGGTTGTCACCAGCTTGTCTTTAGAATCAGTGTGATCGACTTGCCACCTCGTAGAATACCAATATCTTCCCAGGGGACAGTGCCCAAGTAGTGATGACCAGTACGTAGCTGGCAAACAGGTCACCGCCTTCTCCACGCGCCCCACCCTTCCTCCACCCCGTAAAACGCCTTCACGAAATCGCCCCCAATAGCCAGGAGATGGAAGATTTGAACGCTATAGTGCCGCTTCCCTGGGCCGGTCTGGCAGTCTTCTCCCTTAGTTTTCCAGCCATTTTTTTAAAAACGGGATGTCTCCCCTCACCCTTCTCCAGGGAGGAAGGGTCACGGCCTGCACCCGGGCCTTGTCCCGGGCCGCCCCCAGGCCGGGGTGAGGCGACGGGGATCCCGTCCGGCGGCGCTCGGGAGCGGGGGCGGCAGCCCGGGGCGCGCCGCGGACGAGCTGGAGGCCCCGGCGTGACTGGGGACGCAGCCCCGGCGCCGTCGCCAGGGCCGGGGGAGGCGCGCGCCGAGCCGGCGACGGCGGGCGGGCCCTGACGCGCCGCGGCGCGCGCTCTCTCCGGCTGCCGAGCAAGGGCCGCGGGCCCCGCCGCCGCCCGATGGCGGGGCTGCGGGACTGCCTGCCCCGCCTGATGGTCGCGATCCGGTCCCTGCTCTTCTGGTCCCTGGTCTACTGCTACTGCGGGCTCTGCGCCGCCGTCCACCTGCTCAAACTTTTGTGGAGCATCGGCACGGGACCTGCGCAGACCTTCCGGCGGGTCGCCCGTGAGCACCCTCCCGCGTGTTTGAACGACCCCTCTTTGGGAACCCACTGCTACGTGCGGATCAAGGTGAAGGCCGGTGCGGGCCTGGCGGGGACGGGAGGGAACGTGACGGCCGTGAGAGTGGAGGGCGCCGGGCTGCCGGTTTCGTGGCGTCCGGCTCGGCATCTCTGGGTGAACCCGGCTCCGGGGCGTGCTGTGGGCACCGGGAAGACGCCAAAACGGGAGGCTTGAGGGGCGAGGTGTGGCGGCAGAGAGGTAATGTGTGAGGCAGAGAGGGAGAGGGAGCGATGGAGCAAGAGCGCTGACCAGGTGTCTTGGCTGTTTTCTGCATGTGGAGTTTCTCTAGCAGTGTCCCCTTATGTGGCTGTCCGTCCCTCCAAACCTCTGCCACAACAGCCGCGCGTAATTCCGCTCTCGCTTCCCCTGTCAAGGGGCCATGCGCCTGTCACCTCTTTGCCCTCTGGAGCGCCAAGCAGCTGTGGGGAATTGTCCCTGGTGGCGCCCTGCTATCTCAGGAGGCAGTCCTCGCGCAAATGTTAGACAAGAGGACAGCGGATTGAGTCTTTGGAAACCAGGTGTTTATTCTGCCCACAGCCGCCCTGGGCAGTGTGTGAAACAATAAATGGTGCGTATTTGTGGGAAGGGGAGCAGATGGGTGAAGTTGGGGACCAAAGGAATGGCATACAGCGTAAATGTCACCTGTGCCTGCGGGTTTTAAATTGTCCATGCCCACCCCAGCCCTTCTGCACAGCCCACGGATATTCTATTTCCTGAGGCTCCAGGTGGTGAAAGAGTCACCATCATACACTCCACGGGCTGACTCAGAAGCACTTCATATTGGCCAGGGGCGGGGGGTGTTACCACGTCCTGAATTCCTCTTCGGAATTGTACTGCCCAGCGACTGGAGTTCAGAGGGGCTCTGATTGAGCCTGGAGTTAACATGAGAACTGCACGAGCTAGTATTTGAAAATATAAAAAAGCAAGTTAGCACAGTGAACGGCACACAAGTCAGTGCAATGAAGCATCTGCTCATTAAACCCATGCAAGTGGTCACAGCATTTTGAGCCTTCAAGATTCACCACCCAAAAGAAAAGTTACTCAACTTCCAGAAAGACATTCTGCAGTTGGGTTTGTTAACTCTATGCCTCTAAAGTGGAGAAAGTAGTACAACAAGCCTCCCAGGAGCAGGTGTCTGGCCTGGAACCATGCCTGCATCCCACACATTGTACCAGTGTTCAGTTTTCCTGGCTCCAGCTTCCCACCAGTGTAGTTCCTGGGAGACAGTGACAATGGCTCAACTCGTTGGGATTCCTGCCGTTCTTGTGGGGGAGCTCAATTCTGTTCCTAGCTCCTGGCTTTGGCCTTAGCCATTGTGAATAGCTGGAAGGTCTTTTGGTGTGCCTGACTGTGTTTCTTAAATTAGAAGAAGAATCTTCTGGAATTGCTGCTAGCCCCTTTCCCGTGCCTCTATGGGCCTGAAGAGCTTCCCTAGAGACACAGAACCCAGGGGTGGGAAGAACCTTATCCTGGGGGTCTTGTCCCCAGCCAGCTGCCCGTCATCCTGGAGACCCATGTGCACATCTTTGGAGCTGACCAACTAGCTCTGGAACATGGTGCAGTCAATCAGGTGACCTCTAAGATTGGTTGTTTGGTTGTCTAAGGACGGTCTGTGCTCAGCTTTTATTCATGGTTTTGCTGTTGGCTTGCTTTCTCTCTCCCTTTCTCTCTGTCTCTCCCTCCCTCCATTCCTTCCTGTTTTTTCTTCCTTCCTTCCTTCCCTCCTTCCCTCCCTCCCTCCGTCTCTCTTTTCTTTCCTTCCTTCCTTCCTTCCTTCCTTCCTTCCCTCCCTCCCCCCCCTCTCTTTTCTTTCCTTCCTTCCTTCCTCTTGCTCTCTCTCCCTTTCTCGTTTCTTTCTTTTTTTCTTCCTTTACTCTCACTCTCTCTTCCTCTCTCTCTCTTTCCTTCCTTCCTTTCCCCCCCATCTCTGCTGTTTCTGCACTTTGTTTCCGTCTGCTCAGAGCATGCTCATTCGTTATTTTTCGTCTTCCGTGGGCTGTCTTGGTCTCCCTGCCGAGTAGAGGGACATCTCGAGCACTCAAGGCCTTCTGCTGTTGAAAATGTACACTAACATGACGTGAGGAGCAGGCGCGAGGGGAACAGTGCATGCAACACTCAAAAAATAATAACGTGGGAAGGAGAGACCTAAAAATAAGGGAAGGAGGTGTGATTTATGTAACTGATGGCGCAGCTTTTGACGGGGCAAGCTGAGAAAAGTACATGACTGGGAGGTAAATTTGGCAGGATTATAAATCCATAGTCATTTGCATGTACTGCAGAATTTGAATGGGATGAAAAGTGACACATCAGTGAGATGGAAGTTACAAGTGGTGACATTGCTTTGGAAGCTTGTAATGCATGAACTGACCAAAAGAAGGAGGGGTGGGTCAATGATGGGAATGTTGGCAATGACTTTCTAATAATGTGGATAAATTATTCATTTTTGTCTTTTTGAAAATTAATGACATTTATTTCTCAGCATTGAAAATAACACAGATGAGTATTTTAAACTGTAGTAAATGTACTAAATATGCTATGGTGACAATCAGCGTAAAACATCACTAAAACTTCGTATCTTCCATTTTCAGGATTCAGGATTGCGATTTCACTATGTAGCTGCTGGAGAAAGAGGCAAGCCCCTGATGCTGCTGCTTCATGGATTTCCAGAATTCTGGTAAGCTTCCAACAAGCTTTATCCTTGCATTCAAAGGTGTTGGCCTATTGTCTTAGTGCTTCTGTAACAGAATGTCACAGAACAGCCTGAGAAGAACAGAAATCACTTTGCTCATGGTTCTGGGCACTGGGAAGTTTGAGATCAAGGCAACGGCACCTGCAGAGAGCTTCTTGTTTCTAACGTGGCAGAAGGTAGAAGGGCAAAGAGGTTGAAGGGGCCTGGAGTTGATAGGGGAGTGAGCAGCTCATATGTCCTGTCACTTCTTAAAAATCTCAGCTATTAATACGGTTACAATAACATTGAGGGCCCGGCAGCATGGCCTAGCAGCTAAAGTCCTTGCCTTGAACGCACCGGGATCCCATGTGGGCGCTGGTTCTAATCCGGTAGCTCCACTTCCCATCCAGCTCTCTGCTTGTGGCCTGGGGAAGCAGTCTAGGACAGCCCAAAGCCTTGGGACCCTGCACTCACGTGGGAGACCTGTAAGTGGTTCCTGGATCCCGGCTTTGGATCGGCATAACACCGGCCGTTGCGCTCGCTTGGGGAATGAATCATCGGACGGAAGATCTTCCTTTCTATCTCTCCTCTTCTCTGTATATCTGACTTTGTAACAAAATAAAAATAAATCTTAAAAAAAAAAATAACATTGAAATTCCCACTTCAGCTTTGGAGGAGACAAATGTTCAGACCATAACAGTTACCACAGTGTCACTTTATTACAGTGACGTGACAGGCCGTGCTGTCTCCCCCAAATGTCCCTTCATCTCAGCAGTGGTTTTCCTCAGGCTAGGGAAACTACATGCTGCCATCCTAAATTTGTACATCTTTGAGGATGAAAAGAGGTATCTTGGAGTGTCTCAGATTTATGAAATAGTTACAAAATCGTTTTGGAGTTTTTTTTTTCTGCAATACCCACTGTGGACAGAATGTGACAGTGACTGGGGAAAGGAGATTTTACATAAATCAAAGGCTTGGACTGTTTGGTACCAGGACACATTCGGTGAGGCTTGGAGTGGGAAAGCAGAAAAAGTAGCTTCCTCGAAGCTGAAAAGTGAACTATTTCCTAAGCACATAAAAGAATGCATGAGGAGTTAAAGACCTACATGTTTCACATTACAGAATAAAAATCTAAAGACAAAAATGCACAGTTGTTACTTTTTAAAAATTCATTTATTTTTATGGGAAAGGCAGATTTACAGAGAGGAGAGACAGAAAGATCTGTCTGCTGGTTCATTCTCCATGTGGCCACAATGGCTGGAACTGGGCAGATCCAAAGCCAAGAGCCAGGAGTTTCTTCTGGGTCTCCCATGCAGGTGCCCAGTCCAAGGCTTTTTAAAAAACAATTTATTATTATTATTATTATATTTTTGACAATCTTTACATAGTTAATTAGGGTAAAAAGGTTCAAAGGCTATAGGAAAGTGGGTAAATCTATTATTTCCATATTGTTTCCTTCATGTATCTGGGGTTAAGGGGGATATTGAGGGAGAAGCCCCACCCAGTCTCCCACCCACCCCAGGTCCCTGATGTGGGGCATGCTCCGAGGCTCTTACTCAAGTGGTTTTGATAGTTCACCAGTTATGAATTAATGCCAATCTCACCACTCCAAGCACGATGAGGTCGTTGAAGCATCCCCTGATTGATATAGTCCTTCCTAGAGTCTCTGTTTGCCCAGTTTTTCACTGCCAATATATGGCTAGGTGGTTGATTGACTTGTTCTGTCCTCTGTCTTTTCATGGTTAGGGTTCTGAGTTTGGCAGTTCAACTGGGGAGATCTCCAAAGAAACTTTGAAGTGTTCCCAGACCAGATTCTTGTATGTACTAGCAAGTACAGGGCCCAGCACAGTCCATCGCCCTAATCAGCTGGTGGTTGCAATTGCTGGGTTGGTTCTGTTTCCAGCCCTGTCTTCCACTGAAACCAATCAATGGATGTTGCAGTCCAGCCTGGTTCTGCCCAGCACATACTTGGCCCTCACATAAACCAGTATGAGCTGCAGTCTAGTTGGAGTGACCCACAATAACCCCCACCAGGCCTGCTCCCTACCCTGGTTTGCCAGTATGTGCAGCAGAATAGTCCAGTCTGTCCCACATCCCAGTCAGCTCTCATACATGTCAATGGGCATTGAAGCCTAGTTCCATCTAACCAGCTCAACTATCCAGCCCTCACGGATGTTGTTGGATGCCTCTCTGTCTTGTCATCCCAGCCCTTGTCATGGTTTTCGTGCCCTCCAGTCGGAGTGGTAACCCGAAAGAAAGGACCCCACTATTTCCCTACTAGGCCATTCCTACTCCTTGGGAATGCACTCTCCAGGTGGTTCTGTGGTTTAACTTGACAGAATTAGCCCCCAGTGCCAGCCTCTGCCATCTGATGCTGTGGCTAAGCCCAACCAACCATCACCCACTCTAATTTTGTTTGCACCAGTAGGAACAATCAGACCAGGCTGCCTTTTCCCTGATCTAGTCCACATGAGGCGCACAGGTGTTGTAGCCCTGCCTAGTCTGGTCTGCCCCCATCCCAGCTCACGCTCTCCTGTGGGAGTAGCTGTCCAGCAGGGGAACCTCCCCCCATGTTCCCCTGCCGGCTCTGCCCTCTCCCTTTCTGGTTCTCATGCTTGCTGGTTGGGCACTGCGGTCCCTTCCGGTACAGGTAACCTCACCTTGGCATTCCATATTGTGCACTGATTTTTGTGATGACCGAACCCGGCTCAACCCTCACTCTGTTCTGGTGCTTGGATTTGCCAGTGGGTGATGTGAACTGGTTCAGCCTGGTCTGCCCCTGACCCATGCCAAATATATGCCAGTGGGAAACTTTCCATGGCCTGTTCTGGGCTGTTTCCTATCATGCTTCTTGTGCTTACCTGAGGGGTCTGTGTCCTGCCAGAGGAGTTGCCCAGGCTCCTCCATCAGAACCTCTCCCAGTGCCAGATTTCGTGCACACCAGGGGTCCATGAACCAGCCCTATTCAGTTCACATCCTGTCATAGCAGGAACAGTGGCCTTTCCTGACTGACCTTCAACCCAAACTGGTCCTTGCTGTTGGATGTTTCAGCCCAGCCATGGTTTGTCCATACCCACATATGGCTCACACATGGCTCAGTCGGGGTTTGCCTAGTCCATCCCACATCTACCCTGGTCCTCCAGGACACCAGACAGTGTTGGAGTCTGGCTCGGCTTGGTGCTTCCAGTCCTAATCCACATTTGTGCCAAGGGAGACTACAACTGTATCCTGATCAGACACAGCTCCCATTCCAGCCCATGCACCCCTTGGTGGGAACCTCAACCCAGCTAGGGTATCCCCTTAGCTCCCCAACCGGGCCTGTTCCCAGCCATATATCACTTGCATGCCAGTGGTTGCTCTGACTCAGCTTGGCTCAGCCCTTCACCTGTCCTAATCTCTGCCTTAGACACTGTGGCTTAGCGTTCCTGGCTCACGCAGACCAGTAGGTACTAGAGCCTAGCTCGGCATGACCTGTACTCCATCCTGGTTTCTAGTTTTGCTTGTGGGCTAAGGTTTGCTCAGTCCTGCCCAGCCCACCCCGGTCCATTACCAATTGACACATTTGCCAGCTGTTGGAGCTACTTTGCCCAGCTTGTCCAACCCCCAGGTCTGGACCACATTTTCACCAGTGGGAGCTATGACCTGCCAGGGGAGTTTCCCAAGTTCCTCCACTTGATCCACTCCCAGACCCAGTTCTCATACATGCCATTGGGTTTTAGGCCAGTGCCCAGCATAGTCTGGCCTTCCGATTGGGCTTGTATGAGCTGGTGTATGTTGCAGCCTGGCCCACCCCACACCCTGCTTAAGGTGCACACTCAGTGCCGCTGCCTTGACTAGTCCAGTCTGTTGTGGGTTCCTTTACCCATGAGTGATGGCAGGCTCCTTGGTCACACCTAGCTTAATCCATCACCACCTTAACTTTTTTTTTTTTATTGTTAATAACATTGTATTATGTGATACAGTTTTATAGGTGCTTAGATTTCCCCTGCTCCTCCCACAACCCTTCCCCCATGGTGGATTCCTCCACCTTGCTGCATAACCACAGTTCAAGTTCAGTTGAGATTCCTTCATTGCAAACAGATACCCAGCATAGAATCCAGCATCTTTTTTTCCAGATAACTTTAGTGGCTTCTTGGGGAGACCTTCTCTGGTCTGAAGGCAGAGCTAACAGAGTAAAATCCCAGTCAGTTAAAAGCCCCAACAAAACATCAGCAACAATATACAATGTTATGGAATTAATTGACATAGTATTGAGTAAACAATATGTTAAAAATAATGCAAGTTCAATTTTTCAAAACACATGTGTTGAGACAGTATCAATGACAGGTTCAAAAAGAGAAAAGAAAAAAAACAGGTTAAATCAAGGCAAACATGTGGTATCTAACTTTTTGGGATTTGCTCGTTTCCCTTAGCATTATAGTTTCCAGTTGGGCCCATTTAGCCACAAAGAACTGCATTTTGTTTTTTTTTTAATAGCTGAGTAGTATTCCATGGAGTAGATGAACCAAAGGTTTCTTATCCATTCTTCTGCTGATGGGCATTTCGGTTGCTTCCATGTTTTTGCAATTACTGATTGTGCTGCTATGAACATAGGGGTGCGTGTTGGTTTGTCGTGAAACAGGTGTTTTGGATATATTCCTAGGAGTGCTATTGCTGGATCATATGGTATGCAGATTTTGAGTTGTTTGAGTGTTCTCCACACTGATTTCCATAGAGGCTGTACCAGCCTGCAGCCCCACCAGCAGTGGAGTAGGGTTTCCTTTTCCCCACATCCTCACCAACAATTGTCGTTGGTCACCACCTTAACTCTTAAGCTAACCAGTGGAGCTAGAATTTCCACAGGGTTTGGTCCACACGTCCCCCACAGAATCTACCCCCTGGAAATGGTTCTCTCGTTTGCTAGTTGATGTCATGTACCTGCCTAATGTGACCTGTTTCCTGATCCATCATCATGTCAGGTAATAGAATATGATCCTGCTGGACAAGCCCTGAGCCTTAGTTTTTGC